GCCCCAGCTCCAGTGCCTGGTGGCAGGTGACGGTACCTGTGGCGAACCTCCTCTTCACCAGCGACATGCGGTAGCCGTTGCCCACCAGCTCCAGGTCCACACCCGACAGAGTGGCCCCCTCGCTGGTGAACTGTGCGGCCACAGGGCTGGGCGTGCTGGGCCCAGACACGGGCTCCCAGCTGGCAGAGAGGTGGCCGGCGCCTAGGGAGGCCTGAGGTGAGCTGCCCCCGCCCAGCGCGGTCCCACCGTCCCTGCGCTGGAAACCCTTTGCTCTGTGGCTCATCTGCCCCGCCCACCTCCTCTTGCACCCATGCACCCTTTTCTTCTGGCCCCGCTGGTTGACACGGCAGTCCTACCACAGGGTCTTTGCATCTGCCATGCCCACCCCCTGGGTTGTCTTCTTCTCCCACATTTTTCAAGCCCACTTCTCACCACTAGCATCCTCCCCAGTCTGAATAAGTGCCTCCCACCTGGGATCTCCCCGTCCTTCATGCACACCCATAACTCACCTGCTGCCTCAGACACATCTGGAAGCTTCCACATGAACCGCTTCTCCTCCAGGCTCCTGGCAGTGAGAGAAGTTTGGTCAGGTCTTCACCAGAGAAGATGCTAGAAGCCCGTGGGCACAGTTTGGCCACTTCCTGGACCCCTGCATGACCTCCACAGGCCCACTTCCCAGCCTCGCCTCTGTTTCCCCATCTGTGAAAGGGGTGGGCATGGAGCCGCTGATGCCCGACAGCACTTTGAAAAGGTGCATTCAATCCTCCTGCACAGCAGGTGCCGCCTTTTGTACAAAACGAAGGTGGGCCCGGGCCCACGGCTCAGGGGTAGAGCACCCACCGTGTGCCTGGGCCCCTGGGTTCCAACCCCAGCACCGCAAAAAAATTTAAAAAATAAATTTAAAAAGTGGTGGGGGGCCAGACTGGCGGCTGCACCAGGAATGGGTGGGCAGTCGGGTTTTGGTGTGGCCTCAGGCCGAGGAGCCTCTGTGCCTGTCTCCCCCTCCATAAGTGGGGAGGTGAGGCCAACCTGGGACTGCTGAGGACCAAGACTCCCGGCAGAGGCCTGCTCCCGCCTGCTGTGGAGGAAGCTCTGCAGAAATCATTAGTTTTTAAGTTCATTGTTCTGTTGCTTGTTGGCGGTGCTGAGGTGGACCCCAGGCCGCACATAGGAGGTGCAGGCTCTGGTGCTGAATTTCTTTTTGAGATGGGATCTCCTAGTGTGGCCCTGGCTGGGTTCAAACTCCTGAGCTCAAGCCAGCCTCCTGTCTCGGCCTCCACATAGCTGGGACCGCAGGTGGGTGCCACTGTACCCGGCTCCAAAATTATTGAAATCATCCCCAGCTCTAAGCAAGGTAGGCGCCGTCAGGGGTCCAGGCTTGGCTGGACCTTTGGCTGCCACAACCCTGGGTGCTACACAGGTCCCCACGTGGGAGAGGACGGGAGGGGAGGGGAGGGCAGGGCTGGGCTGGGCGTGGGTCGACCTCGTACCAGGTGGCAGCAGGATGTAAGCGGACATTGGTCACAGGCTCCCCCACGGGCAGCAGGATCTGGACGTTGGTGAGCGGCGTGGACACGGCCGTGGCCCCAGCGCGGTAGCTGTACTCCACCGAGACCTGGGTGAGCGAGGCCGCGCACTGCCAGTGGACGCTCAGCTGCAGAGGCAGGGACTGGGGGCCGGGGCGGGAGAACTGAGGGGACAAAAGCAAGAGAGACACAGCTCGGGTTTATGTCCTGCCACCCCGAGACCTTGCCTCGCCACCCACCATTCCACCACGCTGACAGTGCCACACACACATCTTCCAAGGACCCCAGGCCGGTGCAGGAGAATTTAGTGTATTACACTATGTGTCCAGCAGAGGGCAGGCGAGCACCTCATTTTAACAAAATCGGCCAGACAAGTTCAAGTCCATGGTTCTGGGGCGGAGCCTCTTCCAATTTGCATAATTGTACCATCTGCACCAATGGGGGAAGGCCCCCCAGGGCGCGGCGAGGCCCCACCCCGGCTCCGGGCCCACCTGGTATCGCAGCAGCACCACGTTGTAGTAGGAGGCCGTGGGGTTCTGCTCCGCCTGGCGCTGCAGGGCCTCGGTCAGAGCTGCCATATTGAGCCAGAAGTCTTTGGTGTCCGGGTCGCTCTGGGAGGGGTCACTGTGCAGACAGGGGCTCATCACCCCCAGCCCTCAGGAAATGCCCTCCCAGGGCTTTCTTCTATGCCAGCGGCTCCCTAAAGACGTGATTTCTTGTCCCACCCTCGGCCCAGGAAAGCCCTACTTGGGCTGGAGGTGAGGGCAGTAGAGGAGTCAAGGAAAGCAAGGTTCAGAGAGGGCAAGTAGCTTATCCCAGGCCACACAGCAAATCCCAAGAGGCAGAGTAGAAATTCAGAGCTCGGGAGCCACTGACCCCCCAGTGTAAGGCCCCTTTCCACTGGGCATGCCCAGTACCTGAAGAGCAGGTCAGCACTGGGCTGGAAGTGCTCGATGGGGGCCGTGTGCACGAGCCTGAAGCTGAGGACGGGTGGGGGCGGGGTCCCGTTGAACACTCGCATGATACCAGCAGGAAAGGTCATGGTCAGCTCCCCGGTGACTCGAGCCAGGCAGCTGGGGAGTGGGGGACGTGGTGGCTCAGGGCTCTGCCTGGAGCCCTATCCCCGTCCCCTGGGTCCACCACAGCTGGGGGTTCCCAGTCCCCAATCCAGCAAGGCCCTAATCAAGCCCGCAGGCCTGTCACCCTGCCTGGAGGAGAAGAAGCCACCCAGGACTGAGGGAGAAAGAAGGCCCCTCCCGTTTGCTTTTCTGGACCAAGACGTCAAGCCGCAATGGCTGCGTGGTGCAGCGGTCCTCAGCCTGGGCTTGGGTCAAACACTCTCCTCCTCCTTGTGGTGTGACAGGAAGGTCCTTCCTGCTGATCCACCCAGGGACGTCGCTCACCCCACCTGCCCCTGACTGGGCACAGTGGCCTTGGGGAGCCCTGCTCCGACGCCCTCTGGGGCTGAGAATCGTGTCTGCTACTTCCAGACCCAGACACCAGCCTTGGAGCCCTCGGTATCCTCCCCGACCTTGTCACACCTGGGGCTGTGGCCTCGGAAGTAGGCGTGGACGTACTCCGTGAAGGCTGTGGCCACAGGCAGGGCATCCTGGGAGCCGAGGACCACAGGGCTTGGGCCCCGGGAGACTCCTGGGGTGGGAGGAAGAAACCCGTCACACGGATGCGCACAGGCCCTGACGACGCACCCTGCCACAGCCACCAGCTGCCGCCCAGACCAGAGACAGGGTGCCCGAGGCTGGGGGCCAGAGCTGCCCCACGTACCGTGTCCCGTCTGGGAGGAGAAGCCGGGCCGCTCCGAGGTGATGCTGGGGGCGGAGGAGCCCAGGGGGGAGGGGCTCAGGGGCCGAGACTGGAGGGAGGACAGGGGTGGGGGCTAGAAATGGAGGCCAAGTACCACCCAGGCCACTCCCAGCCAGTTCCTGTCACATCCTCACTTACCAGGTCACCGTTGCTGCGGGTGAGGGGGCAAGACACCTTTCTGGAGCGTGGCCTCCGGGGTGGGGCAGCGAGGCCCTCCCTAGAGGTGCCATCGGCGGGTGGGGGCACCAGGTCTGGGAGGAGCGTGGAGAACAGGCCCAGATGAGCCACCACCCTGGGTCTCACCCTGGGTCTCGGGCCCCCCAGAGGCAGGGACTCAGCCACAAACAGGGGGAGAAGGGCTTCAGGAAGACGAAGCCTGGAGTCGGGCGGGCACCACCCACAGCCCGAGCCTCCAGACACTGGCAGCCAGACAAGGGCGAGCGCCTCAGGGGGTGGGCACGCAGGGCTGGGGGCCACGGTCAGCAGCTATGACACCCACTTCCGAGGGTGAGGGCCGCCTAGGTGACCTGGGTCTGCACCTCACCCTCCTCTGTTAACTAACGAACGGGGCACGTGTGGCCCCTCGAACTGGCTCAGCCAGGTTCTTTCCCATGGAGCGCGTCAAGGACACTGGCCAGCAGCGCTGGGGACAGTGTGTGGTCAGAGCTACCTCTGGAGCCTGGGGGGCCACCCCTGCCTGCTCCCTTCCTCCACCTGTCCTCGCGCCCCTCTGGCCCTGCCTGCTCAACCCCAGGCTCTCCTCCCTGGGTGGCCTCCCTCCCAGCTGATGACATCTTCACACAGCTGTGACATGCCACCCTTGCCTCACCCCCCCTCCCCACCTGGCTGGCCATCTGGTAGGCTCTTCTCCACCCTTACCCGAGGCCGCTCTTCCTTCACCTTCCCTCCCTCCCAAGCTGCCAGAGGGAGCATGTGACCCTAGAGTCACGCATGTCCTGTGCTTCCTCCATTCGAAGCCCTGCAGGGCGCCCCTTCCTCAAGGAGCATGTCACAGTCCTCCCAGGCCCAGGCGCCTCCTCCCGCCCCCCCTCTCCCTGGGGGTTCCTCAAAAGTGCCCAGCAGCGCCTGCCAGGGCCTCTTCCCAGGCTGTGGTGACACCTCCCAGCAGCCCCGCCCCCATCCAGGGGCCCCGCCCATCCTCACTGCCATCAAATTTTAGCACAAATGTCCTTCCCCCAGAGGCCTCCACCCAGCACCTGTGATCCCCTGCCTTGTTAAATATGGACCTCGTTATCACCCCTGTAGAGGTGGGGGTCACCTCATCCCGCCAGTGTCCCCAGAAGTCTGATCAGGCCCTGCCTACCGGGGGCACTCAGTCCCCTCCAATCTCAGGGACAAGGTCACTGGACTCACCTCCTCCGGCCTCCAGTCCCCAAGGGCCTGGCGATGGTGCCAGGCGCTGCGGAGAGTCGGGTGGCGGTGGGGGCCGTGTTCCCCTGGGTTCAGGGGGCTGTGCCCTACAGGTGGGCGGGCTCTGCGGGGTGCCCGGGCGGGGGACCCAGGAATCCGGGGAGGGGCCGGGTGCTGCATGGGAAGGAGAGTCGAGGCCAGAGTCTTCCACGTTTTCAGGTGACGAGGAGGAGAAAGGGGAGGGGCTGGAGGTGAACCCGAGGCTGCTGGAGCCTAGGGGAGCCAACAGACGGTCAGCGTCGGGCCGGCCCACACGGAGTCCCCGCCCACCCTCCTTCAGGCCGCACCCACGGGGCGGGAAGGTGGGTTCCCATTCTCGGTTGTCCATCTCCTTAATGTCCTCTCCACTGTGACCCACCACTGCTACCCAG